ACCCCAACCACTGGGCTCTCTGCAGACCACACTGTCTATGTGGGTAGGGAGCACCTCCTCCCCAGTGAAGCTCCTGCCTCATGGTCATTAGAAAAGTCTTGACAATAACACCCCACCAGAGTGCAGGTAAGGCCATCCTTGAGATATACTCCCAGCCCCTGAGCAGTATCCTGCAGGAATAGTTTTCCAAGACCAACTACATCATCCACTGCATAGCTCCATTCCCTGCTGAGCCCTAAGGGCGAGCCTCAAGACAGCCAGAGGGTTGTTGCCAAGACAATAAACCATGGATGTCATCATGACTGTTTTCTAGAAGTAAAGCTCAGGAAGAGAAACGGTTTCCAACTGAGCCAATGTGCACACAGAGGATGTTCTTAAATTAAATACATGTTGAAATACAAAAATAGATTTCTTTTCCCCAAAGCCAAGCTTATATGCACTCACTTTCTCAGGAGTATTTTTAGATAACTAAAAGTCTCTCTTATAAGCCCTGGGAGATAACAATGGAGGAAGGAGAAAAGAGGAATGACCTCACCACTTTATGTCTCTTTTTAACAGAAGAGACTCTATCAAGAACCCCATGGTAGCAGTGGGAAGCCCATCCCCCCAGGCACCCACTCTGTGCTCAGACCTCATTTCCCAAAAGATTCCCAAATCTTTCCCTAGAAGATATGAGGCCTCTGGTGGTTGACCTCAGACTCCAGGAGATATCAGCAATCACACTGACATGGCTCGTCATGGCAGGCAAAGCACATGTATTATCTTGATCTTCATAAGTATCCTGTGAAGTGGAAGTTATAATCCCAGTTTAACAGATGTGGAATTTAAAGGACACACCCAAGGCCACAGAGCTGCTCAATTCTAGAGTGAGCCTGTATCATCAGACCCCTTGTCCACACCATTCTTTGCATTACACCACAACATGTCCAGATGGACATGAGGGAAGAGATGGAAACAGAAGTCACAGTAGTCGTTTTTTACCTACATCTAAAATCCAACTAAATTAACTAGGAACATATTACCTAGAGGGGAAAATCAATTTATATTAGGATTATGATAGATTATATTATTGTTCAAATTCTCCTCCCCTCTGTCTTCACACTCTTTGACATATGATTTTGTAGTTCCTCACACAAAAGGAGCAAAACATATTTTCCCAACCCTCAACTCCGTGACATACTGTGACCAATGGCACAGGGTGAAAGTGATGGTGTGCTGGTTCAAAGACTAGACTGCAAGATCTAGCATGCAGCCACTTGTCTGCTACTTGAGAAGAGTGTACCTGGGCTACCCTGCTGGTCCCAGGAGGAGCATGAGAAATACATGGGGCAGAACTACCCCAGCCAAGATGCCCTGCCAGCACCAGTTGAGAGTAGAGCCTGCAGCAAAGGCTCCCTAACAGCAGGACCAGCGTTAGACTGCCTGGGGTGGGGGTGGTGGGCAGTAGGCTTTGTCTCCATAAGGATCAGTACAGGAGTCCTGCCAGGAATGCTATCAGGGAATTCCTACATTGGGAAAGAAGTTGAACCACACCAACAGCTCCAGACATTGGGATTTTAGGTATAAGTAAAGTTACTCAAAAGAGTTGGGAAACCAACATGGAGCTATTACCTTTTTGCTTTTGAGCAAAGGCAACATATAAAAAGAACTACTGTTTACTATCACCATCAAGTCATAAAAGATAGGACATTTTGACACTAAAACTGAGGAAAGAATATTATCTTGGAATATGACATAGTCCTTTCCAAGCAGAGAGAGTTGGCCACCCTCCATATGTGAGCCTTTTTCTTTCATTCTGTTACAGAACAATGAAAACTTTGTCACTAAATAGCTCCAGTCCACATATTAGCAACTTTCCTGCATGTTTTATGATAGAATGTCAAAAGAACATGAAATCAGTTACATAAGACTGCAAGACTGAAATCATGGTTCTGTTTGTTCTGGGACAATATAAAACTTATGTTTTGTTTTATTTTTATCAGGATAGAAAATAAAGCTAAAAATAAATTTGAGCATCTCCACCTCCATCTTGCCTTCTCCATTATCTGCTTCAAGCCACAGGCAACAAATGCCCTGTAAACAAACCCCCATCCCACAGACATTTGAGTTGCATTATGTGGTGCCCAAGATGCTGGTGTCATGCTTCCATGGTTATAGATAATACGTGGATGAAAAGAAAGCAGTAAGTCAAACAGAAGCTCTTCCACCAGCTACAGGGACACAAAATTGGGACAGAGGTGAGACATAATGAATCCCTGGGACAAGCTCCAGGAACACACAGTTAAGTCACCCAGGAAAGTTGATTAGTCTTCTTTCTGAGCAATAAAAAGCCCCTCTATCTCCTGTTGGATGTGTGGAGGCCAGAGAGTAAAAAGGAGCCTAAAAGTGGATGGTAGTTATAATGGGCTCTACTATCATCCAAAACTGTTCATCTACATCACAGAGGTCAAGCTGACTCTGGCTAAAGAAACATGAGCAACAATGGTGTGTGACAATCCTACACAGAAGCTTCAGGAGCCAGTATGTGGCTTGCCAGGCCTCTCTTTTCCCTCTGTCATGAGACCATTAGAGTTTCCAAGAGAAGCAGCAACTTCAGTCTGAGGCCTATATCAAATTCCACAACCCAATGGGCATGTAACATTGGTAGGAAATATCTTGATTGGTGGAAGTCACTCAGACTCTGGGATCATTTTTCACTGTGGCATAGTCAAGCATAATCGACTGACACAATGGGGATGCCATTAATTGAATTGGAGAACTCTGCAACAGTGGGAACATAGAAAGATGGTGAGTTTGCCTTGGCCTTGTTTCTGGACAGATGAAAAGCAGAGGTGAGGGTTGAATACAAAGATGCCTAAGGCATAGGGCCCTGGCTCCAAGTGAACACATGACCAACTGAGAAGGCGAGCCTATCTTGTGTGTGGCTCTGGGTTTCTAACTATTCCCAGCTCAACCTCACTCACTGGGCCCTGAGCAGTCACACACACCCACAAGGGCCCAATGCAGAGGAGCAAGAGCTGTTCTTAGGAATTAGAAAGACTGGAACTAATCTCACCTCTGACACAACATTTCTGCCTTCATCCATTCTTGCCCTGGATACTTACTGTGGTAGGCATTAGTGAAATGGACAAGGGCCTTAGTTTCATAGGCTTACACTTAGGTAGGAGAATAGGCATTAAGCAAATGAGATAAATACAAATTGGGTGAGAAATAAATACAGTGAATTGAGAGAAACGGGTGAAGGCTGTTTTAGATAAAGTTTTCAGGAAAGGCCTCTCTGAGGAGGGGATATTTCGGATGAAAAATGGGAATGAATGTATTAGTCATGCAAAAAACTAGAGAAAGAGCAATAGCAAGTACAAAGGGCTTGAGACAGAAAAGAAAATGGCTTGTTTGAGGAACAGGAAAAAGCCAGAGCTATGAAAGCAAGGAAACAATTATAGCACAAAGTTGGAAGCCAGGCCCATCCTTTGGGACCTTGTGAACCCCAGCATGGAGTCTGAAGTTCATTGCAAGTATAAAGGAAAGTGGTGGGTATTGTGCAGTAACAGGATCTGATTTATATTTTAAAGGTTCTCAGATTGGTGTGTGGAAGATGATTTGTACAGGAGCCAGAGTGACAGAGACAGGCAGTGAGGACAGTCTTGCAACCTGGACAGGGTGGTGCCTCTGTGAACTTTGTGTCCTTGGGCAATCCCTTAACAGTGCTATGTCTCAATCATCCCATCTGTAGAGTATGGTTGCAGTCTGCACTTTATAGTTTACAAACTCCTTTGGCTCTTGAAAATGAGAATAAAAGTGCACATAGCTTTGCTCATCCCTGCATGATTTCTTCTAATCATTCCAGCTGCCTTTCCTGGAGCTAGAGCCATGTCCAGAGCTTGTCTGTGAAGGTTCCCTAATAGCCCTCAAGATCCCAGAGCCTCTAGTGCCCACCATTGGGTTTATCTCCCCATTTGGATGGAACTGACAACACCTGGAAGCTGGCCAGGACGTAAGACGAATGCAGGGGAAATACCAGGCAATGTGGAGGTGATTTGTTATACAGCAATCACAAACTGATACAGAGGGTGTGGTGACCAGCAGCCCTTCCTATTTCTCTGTGGTAAGTCTCTGCTGGATCACAAAACCTGCTTCCCTGGTTGAGCCCTCTACATGTTCAGATCACTGGACTGGGGTCATGAACCATAAGATACATTCTTGAACTCAACCTTACAAGTCTCCTTGTGATCTTATAGAAACTTCTTCCTCCCTCCACACCTGTGTTCTTTTATGTAAATATGAAGCAACAAAATACTTCCAGGAGCCTCTGAGCTCTAAGGTTCTATGTTTGGCTAACTCTGACCACTTCATGCAGATATTCTGTCATTTAATCAACCAGTATTTGCTCAGAGCCTGCTACATGCCAGGCCATGGCCAGAACCTGAGGATGCAGGCTCAAACAACAAGATTTGGAACTGGCCCACAAGGTACTCATGGTCCACTGAGACTTCATTGCCCTGTTAAGTATAAAGAAGACACCCTTGTGAGGCCTTTGATGACCAAGGAGGCTGTGAGGTGAGGGCAGTGGGCAAGAGTCATATTCATCCCTTCCCAGCAGAAAGAGGGAGTGAACATTCAGTATCCCTGGTGCTTCCTGTCTCCTGGGCTCCTGCACAGAGATGTTATGCCTTGGCCTCCTACGGCAATGAAAAAGGCTGCTGTATATTTCAGCACATGCCCTGGGAAAATCAGACCTGGTGCCTTGGACTCAGCACACTCACTGCACAAGTAAATGACAGACACAGGACTTCTGTCCACTCCATTCTCACCCAGGTGAGCCAGGAGAACTGATCCTTAACCCTGGGAGATTTGCCCATCTTTGTGAGGCAGAATGAAATTAGCAGTTGAAAGTCCTTTACTCCCCTGATTATAACAGTCCTTCAGCCTCTCTTTCTCAGACTCAGGAAGAGGTGGAGATATGGAAGGTGTCTGCCCTGAGACACAGATAGCTGTCCTACCATGGAACCAGGGAGCGATGGATTTGGTGTTCCTCTCAAAGCCAGCTTGGCGAGGCAGCTGTTCCTCCTTAAACCAGCGGACTATGACTTCTCTGGAGATGGGTCGCAATGGGCGCTCCCAAGTCCTGCTGAGAACAGAGAGGAGTGTGGGAGAGTCAGGAAGGGAGGGGGAGAGGGGAGAGAAGAAGGGGAGAGAGGGAGGGGGAAGAAGGGGAAAGGAGGGAGGGAGTCCACTGTGAGAATGAATGAGCACAGAGCCCACACTCACGCCACCTGTGGAGGATTAAATGAGTCCAGGTACTTGAGAGTACTTTGCAGATTATAATGTACCAGCTGTTATTATTTTTCCCCAAAGAAAATTGTTATCACTTGCCTTGAAAAAAGCCACACAGGTGGGAGCAGAAAAGAAAACAGGAGGGGATGTCTGAGGGAAAGAAAAGGCATATTTTCCCTCTAGGATGGCCAGGGTATAAACATGAGCATACACGAGGAAGGACCTAATGTAACAGGAGCAAAATTATTAGCGTGTGAGTGTCCTCCATGCCCCTCCCACACCCCACTACAGAAAATTCTGGTTTGCTCCTCAGTGTGGCCCCTTCCCCAGCCTTCCACAGGGGATACCTGCCTTTGCCAGCTTGCTCCCTTCTGTGCTTTTGTGAGATGGAATCAGGACTGTGAACAGAGAGAAACCGGAGACCCTTGATTTGCTATGGACGTGGCTGAGATTCACTGCCAAAAATTAAAAAGAATGAGGACAGCTAAAGGAGGCGGAACAGATCACTGCACTGGTTGACTTTTGGTAGATTTCATAGGGGATCTGGAGAGGGTCTGAAGGTACTGAGAGTGAGGAATATAGAGGCACTTGAAGGATTTATAAGTAATGACATGTTTTTGACATTTTCTCACAAATAAGCCAAGATTTTAATTGTTTGTGGGTCTGAACTGTGGTTCTTGGACACACACAGAGACTGCACTACATAAGAGCCCTGTGATATTGGAGCCACACTGACAGGAAGCACAGTTAGAGTTCGACGACACACGGCACATAACAGGCACACACCAGCTATTGGTTGAGTTAATGTGAAGCAAGATCATACTGCACTGATCTATGGAAAGAAAATACAGCATATGAAGGGCAGGCCTTTGGCCCAACTTGAACAAATGCAGCTTCTCACCTTTCCAACTGAGGGACAGAACCTGATAAATTCTCACTTTTTCATTGCTATCTACTTACTAGTCATGGCACTCATAATTCGCCACTGTTGTCATCGTTTTTTATAAAATGAGCTGTCTTCTCACATACTCGAATTTGCCCTGCACCAGCACTTTGATGCGGAGTTCGGCACATCCTTGCAAATCCCAGAATGAGTTTGTATTTCTACTTGCCCTAAAATGAATCCACACACACACACATACACAGTAGCAAACAGTGTGACTTTAGGAAAGTTATTATAAGAAAGATAGAGGATGAGGTTCCATTGCATTGGCGTAAAGCCACCAGCAGTGCAGTTTGTACTCTAAACACCTTTCCCACCGCTGCTTCCCTAGGCTCTTCTTCACCCCCACTTTCAGTGTTGCTTCCACTGATCCACACTTTGTGGTTTCCCCCTCTCAGCAATCCTAGAGGCCTCTTCTCTTTATTAAGCCGCACACTATAACCCTGCTCAGTTCCTTCCTTACTGCTCAACAGCAAAACTGCTCTGTTGTCCTTACTCATTTTCCTTAGAAGGCAAGAGGAGGTTATAAATAACAGAAAAAAAATATATATATATATATATATTCTCACTCTTGTCCCTGTGTTTCTAAGCAGAGAATCTGATTCACCAGCATATAAATGCTAGGAAGGTTTTCCAAGAAGCCACCTGGACAGAAGCTTCACTCTTGCACCTGGAACTCTCTCCCAGAAACAATGTGTGGCTGTCCCTCAGCACAGTCAGATGAGGGTAGGCTGGCCAGTGCCAGTACTGCACAGCTAGGGGCAATGAGGCCATAGGGAGCTACCCCATGGGGCAGCCACAGAAGGGTGGCTGATGCATGGCCTCTGGGGTGCCTGAGTCCTCGGTTCCATCTGCATGGCCCCTGGTCCCCTTGATGGGTCACTGTGGTGGTCACTGTGTCCCTACTAACAGCTAGCCACAGCCAGCCTGGAGCCAGGCTGTACCGCCATCCATGTAGCTCCATCGTGTGGGCCTGCATGGATCACCTGTTCCCTTTAAAATGACTGATTATAATGTTCCTGGGGACATACCAAGAAGGCTTTTCTAACTATGTCTCCAAATCCAGAAAACATAAAAGAAAATCTGACCTCATAAAAATCAAAGATTTCGGCATGACAGGAAACATCATTGCAAAATTCAAAAGACAAATGACAAACAGGAAAAAAGTATTTATCACAAACAAAAGGACCCTCTTCCCTAATATTTAAAGTGTTCTCAGATATGGGGGATAAAGAAAAGAACAATGGCACAATGAAAAAAACAGGTAGAGGAAAGAATATACAGATATGGAAATACCAATGGTCCTTAAACATATACAAAATACTTAATCTCCCTCATCAGTATAAATGCAATTTTAAATGATCCACTGAGATATAGTTCTTACACAAAAGTTTGACAGCATACTGTTGACAAGTCTGAAGGATGAGTGTTCATTGGTACAACCCCTATGAAGAGCAAGATGAGATAACTATCAGTGGTGTAAATGCACACAGCCCTTAACCCAACAGTCCCACTTTAGGGAATCTCTCATAGATAATAGTTGTGTGTGTATAAAATTAACATCTATAAGGTTATTCACTAGGGCATTGTTGGTAAAATTTCAAACAACACCAACTTCATTAACAAATTTTGATAAGTAAATTATAGCACATCCTTGCAGCAGAATACTATGCAGTTATAAAAAGAAAACTAAATAAAAACTAATAGTTAAGAACTGGTACGAAAAGATCTCCAAAATATAAATGGGGGAAATTCATGGTGTAGAAATCTGTAGAATATACAAATTTCATGAAAAAAAAAGAGTGAGATACAAGTTTTAATGCTGGCAGTTACAAAAAGGGACTAGGCAGATACCTCAAGAACAGCAGTTCCCTTGGGGAAACAGGGAACTGAGTGGATGGATGGCAAGGATGTGAGTTGGTCATTTTTCCATGTATCTTTTTAAACTTTCTGGTTTGTAAATCACAGTGACAAGGGAGGAAAAGAAGGAAGGAAGAAATTCAGACATGACCAGCTCTCCCTAGACTGCAGGGAGAAGGACAAGGGAGGTATGAGTAATTCTAAATCCTAATTAAAGCAAAACTCAGACAGCCCTCCATCATCTAGGAGTGAAAAGACTCTTCTGCAGATTAACTGTGGCTCAGGAAGCCAGCAGGCACTCACCACCACCCAGCCTCTGAGCTATCACTGGGGGAGGTAGTTGCTCGGCAAAGATGGGGACACAAATCTCGGGGCTGGCCTCAGGTGGGTACAGGCAGAAGGTGGAGAAGCTCCAGACAACCACTTCACCCTTGGTCCTGGTAATCATGAGCAGTCACATAAGTGCCCTTGCCAGACCCCTCCAGTGACACTAGTGTGTGTGAGCCTCCTGCATTCCACCACGCTCATCTGCCAACCTACTATCAGAACCCAGGATGCACCAGCACTGCCTGTGGTTACAGCGGCAGCCAGCCCAGGTTCCCAGGCCACTGGGCCATATTTAATCTACTTGAGGTCTGACAGTTGAAGTTCTTAACCTGAGATCTGTGGACCTTTAAGAGCTTAAAATTATATGCAAACATTTTGGGGATTTGTATATGCAAATCTTGGAGGAAAGAAGGTACACAGCTTCCTTTAGATTCTCAAAAGAATCTGAGACCCCAGAAAGGTAAAGAATCCCAGAACTCCAGAGTTATTAGAAATCTCCAAGCCCTACCCATCCCCCCATCTCACAGAGAGGAAATGACTAGCCCCAAATTTCATAGCAAGTTAGAGGCAGAAGCAGGACTGGGTCTCCAGTTCCCTGTGCCCACATCCAAGACCCTTTCCCCAGCCAGGCCTCCCCATGCAGAGACCCCCAGCCCCACCAGACCCACCTGACAGGCATTGCAAGGGGTAGTGGTGGACCGGGGCCTGGGAAGTGGTGGTAGAGTCTGGCCTCCTGCTCATGGCTCTGGCCAAGCTCTCGGAACATGAAGCTGAGGCCAGCGACAGTGCCCTTCTGGATGGCACGGAGTGAAAGGCGTCGGTACTCATCTCGGGCCCGCTGGGCTCGGCGGCTTCTTTCCTCATCAGCTGCCTTGGACCGACGCACTGGAAAAGGAGAGAGCATGTTCTCCTGGAGCCAAGGCTTAGGCTATATACTAAGGCAACCAGGATTGGGCTAGCAGCCTGGGGTCTTTCCCAGAGTCCCAGAATTCACAGGATTCCTCCACATTGGCTGCATGAAAGCTTGGAGCCCCCAGTGGTAAGGTAGGTCAAGCCCAGCCTTAACCAGCAGCTGTGAACTAACCTGTCCCTGTGGGGATAAAGACACTCACGACAGTTTGGGGTCATTAGGTTGTTCCTGTGACCCCATTCCAAAATGAGCAAGAAATCTTTGGATGGAATTTTACATCTCCATATATATATATTTGTTCCTCAGAGTACCCTGCTCAAACCCTGTGCCTACCCACCCAGCTTCATGAGCACCTTTCAAAGTGGTCAGCATCACCAAACACCACTGTCATCACCCACACTGACTGTAGGCTTTCTCTGTGCCCAGCCCCAGGCTACCTGCTTTCTCTCCAATATCTCATGATAGATACCTCACCCAGCCACCCAGTGAGGAGGTCACATCGCTATTTCCACATCAGAAACCCAGCCTACAGGAAGGTAACTAACTTGCCCAAAGTTAAATAGCTAATAAGGGGCAGAGCCAGGATCGGCATGTCTGGCTCTAGAACACATGCAGCTCCTTCTACCACATGGACCCCACCTCTCAAATGTTCTTCATTTTAAAACCAGATGCATTTGACATCAGAGCCCCTGCTCTTTCCTACAAAAAGCCAAAAGAACATTTAAGACCATGCAATCCAACCTCCTAATATTAGTCATGTGAAAACTGAAGCCCAAGGTAGGACAATGACTTGGCCAGCTGGGCCAGCTAGGTCAGCTGGGCCAGTGGCCAAGTCAGACTAGGAACCATCAATTCTGCTACCAGAATGAGTTTTTGGAAACACTGGTATCTCAGTTCTGGGGCCCTCTCTTTCGTTAGTTTTCTGTGGGCTTGTGGGTGAGTGTGTTGGGTGAAGAGGAAGAGGATTCCTTGGTAGCTTTGTTATACCACAGATTATAACACTTCAAGATGCCCCTCTCCCTAGCCTTCTGGCTTTTTCTGTTTCTCAAGGCAGGGCCCTGTCTCAGCCAAGTGGCCTTGAAAAGACATCTGCATGTTACTGCTTCTAAAACTTGAAAGGGTGTCCGGGAACTGAGAAAATGCCAAGAGAGGCAACAAAACCTGTTGGAGGCAAGGTGTTAAATTAAAACCAACTATTTTGTAGTCTGATTGCATCTTGCCAGGCCTATCTGCCTCCAAAATCCAATCCCTTCATAGAGAACTCTTAGAGCTAGTTGTGTTCTCATTGTTCATGACTAGTGAGCCCTGGACCAAGCAGGTCAACTTCCCCTTCTGGAGTAAAATCTTACCCAAATATTTCTACTCCAACTCCATTCGGTGCATGTGTAGCAAGGACCTACAACCTACCAATGTCAGAGTCTGTTCATATTTGGAGGTCAATAGCCTTGGTCCTGAAAGAAAGCACTTCTAATCTGAAGTTGCCAAAACCCCTTCTTGAAACATGACATTCCCCAGAACTGAGGATGGCTGCATGAAGTCTCAGCCGGTAATTATGGATGTGGGGGTCACAAGCAGAGGCTCTAATGGTCTGTGGGCTCAATGAGGGCCAGTGGGGGATTTTCTTTTGTTTATTCATTGCTGTATTCCAGTGCCTAGAACATGCATGTGTTGATCAGCAGGTGACACATTTTGGATGACTATACCCAATTAATTATTTAACCAGTGCTAGGTCTATACTAGATATAGAGAGTACAAAGACCAGACCCTTTCCTCAAGGCACTTGAGCCTAGCTGAGAAAAATAGACAAGTAAATATCTCTAACAAAACAAAAACAGGGACTGATTCAGTACTGTCAGAGTTTAGGAGCAGCAGTGCTCACATGAAGCAAAGGAGCCAGAAGCTATCACAGGGCAGGGAGTACCTGACTGGGTCTGGAAAAGTCAACATCAGTTTTCCAGAGAAAGAAGAGGGAGGGAGCCATCCCTGAGAGAAAACCCATGCTGCGGTGCCCAGTCAGCTTGTCTATAAGTTCTGGGTACTAAGACACAATAATGCCTGCTGTGCATGTGGTGAAAGGCTCACACAAGGCTCCCACCAGGCTGCAAATTAAGCACAGAAACTTGTGCCCTACCAGGGCCAGCGACCTTTGAGAGTTTACAGCTCCCAAGAGATACCAACATTCAGTGACAGATTGCAGAATGAAGTCATGCAGACTAGGCAGACACGGTTTTAGAACTCAGCTGGGGAGGCCCTCCGACAATGGTCAAAGAGAGACTAAACCCAGCCTCCCAAAGCCCAGTTCTAAACCCACCATTATCTTCCTCAAAAGCCTCCAGTGGCTCCCACTGCCAACAGAATAAAGGGCAAACCCCTTGGTCCTTAAGAAGTATCCCACCCACCCCACTTTCTTCCTACACAATAGGGCTTTGAGCTCTTCCCCACGCTGGGTGCTCTGGCTCTACCAAGCTCCCCACTCCCCTCTCTTCTGCAAACTCTCCTCACCTGGTTGGTGTTCACTGACCAAGACCAACTGCTATGAATGGGCATCCAGGCCAGCTCAGAAATGCCAGGCAGCAGCAATGAGGGCACTGACATGCTGCAAGCAGGAAGCCGGGTCTCTGTGTTGGAGTTAACACTTCCATCACATCACAATTATAATTTCAGTTTTGTGATGAGAACATTTAAAATCTAGTCTCTTAGCAACTTTCAAGTATATAATACAGCATTGTTGACTATAATCCTATGCTGTGCATTGAATATCCAAAACTTACTCATCTTCTAACTGCAACTTTGTACCCATCAACCAACATCCCCCCAGGTGCTCCATCACCACCTCCAGCCTCCAGGAACCACCATTCTACTCTCTGCTTCTATAAGTTTGGCTTTTTTAAGATTCTACATACAGTATTCGCCTTTCTCTGATTTACCTCACTTGGCATAATGACCTCAAGGCCCAACCATGTTGCAATGGCAATATTTCCTTCTTTCTTACAGCTGAATGATATTGTAGAGTGTGTGTGTTAGTGTTCCAAATATTCTTTATCTATTCATCCATTGTCCTGAATAATGTTTCAATAAATATGGGACTGCAGATATCTTTTCAATATCTTGTTTTCATTTCCTTTGGTTATATACCCAGAAAATTGCTGGGTCATGTGGCAGTTTTGTTTTTAATTTTTTGGTGAACATTTCTACTGTTTTCTATAGTAGCTGGACCAACTGGCATTGACCCCACAGTGCAAAAGGGACCCCTTTTCTCCTCATCCTCACCAACACTTCACAACAGCTTTCCTAAGAAAGTCTCTGATGTCTCTAGGCCTCAGTTTCCACCTCTGTCAAAATGAGAATGACATGAATGTCCGCCTCACTGAGTTGTTGTAAAGAGCAAATGAAATGTACAAATACTATAAACTATGAAATGCTTTGGAAAAGCAATGTCTTACTAAATCAAGCATCAGAACCTGACCCTTTCTTCACAACTCCCAATGTCTGGAGCCAGATCCCAACACCATGTACCAGCTGTGTGACATGGAATGAGTTACTTACTCACCCTGGGCCTCCATTTACTTATAAGCAAAGTGGAGATAATAATGGTCATTACTACATAAAGTTGTTATGAGGATTAGGGCAGCTAATAACACGTACCACTTAGAATCAGTAAGCACCATGGTAAGTTAACTAAAATTTTTATTTTCATTAGACATGGTATTGCTCTGTCCAAAACAGAGCCAAGAACAGTTCTTGGCCTGTCCAGGATGGGGAACCCTTCTTGGTCTGTCATGTGGAATGTGCCCTCTGACAATTCATAAACAGCTTCCCTTAAACTAAACTCAAAATCTCAAAAGCTTGCTTTTAGTTCCTTCTCAGAAATAGGGAAGGATTTTGGACTGTATCTCATGAATCTGCCATAAGAAACCAGAATTGATGGAGTACTTTTTTCATCTAATCCAGAGAAAACAGCCAAAACAAACACTAGGAGCCATTTAGGAGCAGCCACAAGTAGCTTTCACCCTGAGGCAGCAAGTCTTGGACTGTCCTCATGCTCTAGAGGACCCACTGTGGAGGACAGAGCTCAAACCTAGTTACCTTCTGCTTCCTCCCACAGCCCACACTATGACCCAAGGGGACCTCCAAAGGCCTATCCGGCAGGCACTGCCAGGGCCCACTGTGCATGCAGAACAGAGGGAGGCCGTGATCATTCCCTGCTAAGGTAGGTTCCAGGGACTCCTTTCTCCATCTCTTAAAGGGAGAGTGAGCCTCATCTCACAGAAATACCACAAAGATGACTGAGATAGCATAAAAACACTGAAGACTTCGAAAGAAAGGCTGAACTTAGATGTTAAAAAAGGGACCAACCACCATGAGATACCTCTTCACATCCATTAGAATGGCTACTATTAAAAAATATTTTTATTAACAAAACAGAAAGTAACAAGTGTTGGCAAGGACATGGAGAAATTGGAACCCTTGTGTATTGTTGGTAGGAATGCAAAATGGTGCAACTGCTGTGGGAAATGGTATAACAATTTCATAAAAAATTAAACATATAATTACCATATGCTCCAGCAATTCCACTTTAGATATATACCCAGAAGAACTGCAAGCAGGGATTGGAACAAATGTTTGTACACCTGTGTTCACAGCAGCACTATTCACAAGAGCCAAAAGGTAGAAGCAAAATGTCCATCCATGGATGAATAGATAAACAAAGCATGGTATATTCATACAACAGAATATTGTTCATCCTTAAAAGGAAGGAAATTCTGACACACACTGCAACATGGATGGACCTTGAGGACATTGTGTTAAGTGAATAAGCCAGACACAAAGGACAAATATTGCATTTCATACAGCAGAAAGTAGAATAGTGGTTGCCAGGGGCTGTGTGAAGGGAGGAATGGGGAGTTAGTATTTAAAGGGGACCAAGTTTCAGTTTGGGAAGGTGAAAAAGTTCTGGAGATGGTGGTGATGGTAT